CCAAAGGACAAGGATATGGCAACTTAATAAGACAGAAAAACTTGAGGCAATTAACACATTCATCCACTCATACATAAGAGAAAAATGTATGGCCTTATCCTCACCTAGGCCATCAATGCCCTAATGAATACTCTACATTTCTACCTTCACCAGGCTATGACAAGGTCCCCCCAGTTTCCATCAGGGTAGTGTCCAAGAAGATCACATAGAAGCCAGGACATTCATCCCTGCCAGGTAGTAACCAGGCCACCCTCCACCCTTTGTATCATCAGTGGAGATAAAATAGGGATCCTGAACTTCCACCCCTACCATCCCTATATGTTGGGATGGTGTCAAACTAGGCTTAAAGGAGAATCAGGACTTTCACCACCATCCTGGAATAATGACACCAATACCCAACCCCACTTCCCCCATCAGCATGGTGTAGTGGTGAACAAATGGGTAATAGTTACAGGGCATTCCTATTCCTCCCAGCCAGGGAGGTATCAGCGGAAGTCTAATGGGAGCAGGAAGTCCTATCCATGCCAGCAGTAATAAAGAGCTCCTGCCCACTCATATATAAGCAAAGGGCAAGTGAAGAAACATGAGCTTCTACCTCCAACTGCCATTAATTCTACTCCCACTTCTAGAGCAATATTGGAGAAAGCCAACCAAAACTGAAGGTTTATACAATATCCAGAATCTCATAATATCATACCCAAAATGTCTAGGTTTCAACTGCAAACTACTTATTACACTAACAGTCAGGGAGATTTTAAATGAAATGGAAAAAAAGTCATTAGATGCTAATATCAAGGAGAGCAAATGGACATCCAGCAAATGCCATAGACAATACAATAAAATTTGACTTCAGTTTCATACCTTATAAAAATTAATTCAAAAGGGATTATGCACTTATAACTAATAAATAAAACTATAAAACTTTTGGGAAAAAACAGAAGATAAACTTTGGAGTCTAGAACTAGGCAAAGAGTTCTTAGATTGGAAACTAATAGCATGGACGTAAAGTGCAAAACTGATAAATGGGACTTCATCAAAATTAAAGTCTTTTGTTCTGTAAAAGACTTAAGAGGATGAGAGGACAAGCTACAGATGGAGAGAAAATATTTGCAAACTAGCTATCTAATAATGTTTAATATACAGAAGATATTTAAAAATCTCAAAATGCAGCTGTAAAAAGAACCCCAAAAAATCCAATTAGAAAATGGGCAAAATATATGAACTTTATATATATAAAATACATGAACTGTATATTATTTTGGTTAAAAGGATGTACAGATGGCAAATAAGTGCATGAAATGATGTCAAACATCATTAGTTATTATAAAAGTGAAAATTAAAGCTGCAAGGAGTTATTGTGACATACCTATCAGGATAATTAAAATAAAAAATAATGACAGCAACAAATGCAACCAAGGCTTTTGAGAAAGTGAATCACTTGTACATTTCTGGCAGGAATGTAAAAAGTTGCAGTTAATCTGGAAAACTCTTCAGCAGTTAATTTTAAAAACTAATTATGCAACTACCATAGTACCTAGGAATTGCATGTTTAGCCATTTTTTTCCCTCAAAATAAAAACTTATATTTACAAAATGTCTGTACATGAATACCTATAGTGACTTTCTTTGTAATAGCCCCAACTGGAAGCAACCAAGACATCCTTCAACAGGTGAATAACTAAACAAACTGTGGTATATCGTTACCAAGAAATATTACTCAGTAGAAAAAAAATGAACTATTAATGACCTGGGTTAATCTTCAGAGAATTATGCTGAGTAAAAACAGCCAATGCCCATAAGCCACATACTGTGTGATTACATTTAAATAACATTCTTGTAATGACAAAGTTACAGAAATAGGGAACAGTTTAGAAGTTGTCAGTGTTTAACGGGGAAGTTAGAGATAGGAATGAAGTAGATGTGGCTATGAAAACAGCAACAGGAGGGCTCCTTGTGGTGATAGAAATGGCCTGTAGTTTTTGACTGTAGTATATCAATATTCTGGTTATACTATTGTACTATGTAGTTTTGCAAGATATTATCACTGGGTATAAAGAGGAAACAGGCACTAGGGATCTCTGTGTTTTTTGTTTGTTTGTTTGTTTGTTTGTTTTTACAACTACATGTTGAATGTACAATTATTTAAAAACAAAAAAGTTGAATTAAAAATTCCGTCATCAGCAATATGACATCTACATATTTGTATCTGTACTGCACAGCAATCATATGAATGTCCTTAGTTGATTTTAAGGAATACTATTCAGTTTATAGCCCTGCTACCTAAGTGGCTGTGTTTTCTACAGAATTCTCTCATAACCCACAATCCAATGCCACTTGACTAAATCAGGAATGGCATTTGACCAAAAGTGCAGCAAATTTTAATTAAGTCATATTCTATGATCTCAGTGATCAGGTGAATTGAGCCAATCATATTCTCTCTTTTGAAAATTGAAAGACACATACACACATACACGGACACAAACATAAACACACACAGAATAGGCTGTGTGCTTGTTATTAAATTATGATCTCTCAGTTCAAGTGCACCCTCCTCTTGCTTTGAGATGCTGGGTCTGGGTCAGTGCAAAGCATATATTTTCCTTTGCCACCTGGCTCCCTGTTTGTCAATACAGGGATACAGAGGGAGAATAGAAGCTTGAAAGGGAAGAAGAAAGTGCTTCCTGCTTCTGACAATGTCGCCCTGTTGGTTCCAGTAGCCATTGTAAAGCAGTTGGTTCTGTTTTGTACATTTTTCTACAATTCCAGAAGAAAAAAAAAAAAGCAAATGATAAAACAGCACTAGCTGACTGGTACCCCTTCCTCAGAGATGCAATTCCAGCTTTGCCTGTGGATTCCTTTTTAGTTTTTCAGGCTATAACACTGGCTGAGTACCATCCCACCAAAAATTCTGCATCCCAGCTCCATGGGTACCCCAATCTGAGCTTCTGGGGTACAGTCCCAGCTGGCAGCCAGTCCCTAAAGGCAAGATTCTTAGCTCTGTGGAGTCCTTGCTGAGCTTCTAAAGTCCCTCTATTTTTCGGGGAACGCCCTCACCCAAGATTCCTGTATTCCTTTTCTTCAAAGCCCCTCCTCTAGTATTCTAAATTCTAATAATGTCTGACTCTTACTTTTGTCCCTGCATCCAGGATATCCACTTCCTGTAATTACTATCTTTATGATTCCTCAGTGGTTTTTTTGCCTTTATTATTCGCCAATAACTGGCTAACTACTCTTCGGTAATTCTGCATATTAAAATAAATGGTATGGTTTCTGTTTCCTGAATGTAACCTGATTCACACAGGTAATTAGCAGCAGGAACTGAAGCTGTTAAAGGGAAAGCAGCTGCAGAGGCCATGATAGGCTATATGCATGGCAAAATTTTAAGAGGAACAATTATTAAAAGGGTAAGAAAAATAATCTAACAAAAAAGAACAGAAATGAATAGACAGTCAAGGAGAAGTAGAGTTGCACAAAGTTTAAAGTCCCTGTTGCTCATAAGAATGACACAAGCATATAAGAAGCTTCTAGAACTGCCTTTCTTTTTTATTCTTGCTTCTTAATTTGGTTTCAGTTCCAGCCCACACATGTTGCCAGAAAAATTACCTTTTTACATGGGTCACCTAAATGAGTCTTTCTTCTCAATAAACAAAAGAGCCTAAGGATACATCCTTCCCTGTGTATAAATAGAAATATTAAGTTTTACGACAAGGAAAAAGCCAATTACATATGCTTTTAAAAAGAAAGATTCAAGTCTTCTCTCTCTTGTTGGTTGATATTTATCTTCAGTGGTTGGTACCTTATGTTTACCTTACCATTGCTTCCTCATCTTTACAGAGCAGTTCACACTTGCAAACACCTCCATAGCTAGGTTCTTATGTGACTCTCCAAACAAAGTGATATCCCTGAAGATAGATGAACATATCTTCCATGCAGCTTAATCTACATAATGTGATGGAGTTGATGAAAGAAAAGGTTATCTTCTGGGAGGATCATGAATTATGAATGCAGGACAGATAGCTTTTATAAATGCAACTGAGAGAGAGCTAAATATTAATAGGAAAATGCATGAGCAAACCTTCTACCTTCATTTCCAGTCCACTTATACCATTTTGCTTATGCCTTAAAGCATCACAAATAATTCCAGTATTTGCCAGTAAAAGGGAAAGTACAAACTTCTCCTCTACAATGTGCTTAATGTCACTATAATTTGATCTTTTTTTTCCCCTTAACACAGTGAAACCCCACAGATGAAAGAAGAGATTGTTTCAATTTTGCAGAGCTGATGGCTTCCATTTATAGGTGTGAGTCCCCTTGACTTTTAATGGTATAACAATTATTAACTACAGAGGATGCCACAACCCAATCCTCCAGCTTACAAACTGCCACTTGTTTTGAGTCACTTATACTTTCATCCTTCCCCACTGGTTCATTCAGACAAGTACAACTTTCCCAATAGCCCAAGAGAAAATATTTTCATGCTGTGACCACATCAAGCTTTCCAATCTCCCCAGGTTTTCAAAGAGAGAATCGAAAGCCAGCTACCATTCCCAAACACTTTATTCCATATTAATGATTGAACCACTGCCCCAGTTACAAAGAAAAGGAGCCGGGGCATCACCATTTGTCCGCCTGTTTCTTTCTGAATCCCAAGCAGGACAATCTGCCACTCTTTCAACTCCTGGGGTCGTGCTCAGAAACATCTGTTCGAGAAACAGTTTGACTCCCGCCCTTCTGCATAAATCACTACTGGTAAAAGTTTTATGAGGTGGCAACTTTTTCCCCCTCCTTTCTCCTTTTGTAACTGACTGAAGCCCAAATGAACAAGATGAAATGGCCAGACATTTAGCCATATGCCAGCATCCACATGTGTACATTCGGGAGGGAAAAGAAGCTGTTAGCTGTAGCAAAGGAGAATTATAATTGTCTGAAATGTAATTAACAACCTCATAGTCAATGAATCTTTGAAGGATTCTAATGGAGGAAATTATACCTCTCACTTACCTGTAGCAAATTGTTCATGGACCCGTTTCTCTGTTTGCAAAACTTGAACCCACTTAATTTATGGCGATTCCAAAGTAGTTTCAGGATGTTTCCATATTGTTAATCCGCATAAGTTATTCTTGCTTTTCCAGTAACTCCTACATAAAATAGAATAAAAAGATATAATTAGTATTATTTAATGGTCAATAAATGTTGGTAGATTTTAACACCTAGAGCTCACACTAAACACACACACGCACACACACACACACCATTTTTATTTTTTGTATGATAGAAAGTAATGGGAAAAATATTTTCTCTTTTAAAAACTATATCAAATGTTATGATCATTTTGTAAATACAATTACACCTAGTAGTAGATCTCCAGGTGGTTGGTAAAGGCTAAATAAAAGTTTATTGATTAGACACTCAATATAATAGTTTTGATTAAAATTTGCTTGTTACTGCATGCCCTAAGAAGGTGGAAAGGAATTTAACATCTGAGACATTACCATGGGCCTGGGGCTATGTGAGTTGCATTTACATATATTATTTTATTCAATCAGCACAGTAATATTTCTTAAGACCTTACTATCCACACTGTCTAGCAGATGCTTTTGTTAGCCTCATTTTTCAAAGTGTTATCAGGAGAAACTTTCCTCAATATTTCGACGTAGTTTCTTTCTATTTTCCATAAGTGTTGGCTGGCTGAGAAATAAAGAAAAAGAGTACAAAGAGAGGAATTTTACAGCTGGGCCTTCGGGGGTGACATCCTATATTGGTAGGACCGTGATGCCCACCTGAGCCGCAAAACCAGCAGGTTTTTATTAAGGGTTTCCAAGGGGAGGGTGTGTATGAATGGGGAGTAGGTCACAAAGCTCACATGCTTCACAGGGCAAAAAGGAGAACAAAGATCATACGCTTCTGAGGAAACAGGACAAAAGGCAAAACAGAACTACTGATAAGGGTCTATGTTCGGCTTATTGTCTTGATAAACATCTTAAAAAACAGAAAACAGGGTTCAAGAGCAGAGAACTGGTATGACCTCAAATTTACCAGGGCGGGATTTTTTCCCAGCCCTAATAAGCCTGAGGGTACTGTAGGAGACCAGGGTGTATTTCAGTCCTTATCTCAACCACATAAGACAGACACTCCCAGAGTGGCCATTTATAGACCTCCCCACAGGAATGCATTCCTTTCCCAGGGTCTTAATTATTAATATTCCTTGCTAGGGAAAGAATTTAGCGATGTCTTCCCCACTTGCATGTCCATGTATAGGTTCTCAGCAAGAAGAGAAATATGGCTCTATTCTGCCCGACCCCACAGCCAGTCAGACCTTATGGTTGTCTCCCCTTGTTCCCTGAAAATCACTGTTATTCTGTTCTTTTTCAAGGTGCACTGATTTCATATTGTTCAAACACACGTTTTACAATCAATTTGTACAGTTAACACAATAGTGGTCCTGAGGTGATGTATATTCTCGGCTTATGAAGATAACAGGATTAAGAGATTAAAGTAAAGACAGGCATAAGAAATTATAAAAGTATTAATTTTGGGAACTGATAAATGTCCATATTAAAATGAAATCTTCACAATTTATGTTCAGAGATTGCAGTAGTAAAGACAGGCATAAGAAATTATAAAAGTATTAATTTTGGGAACTGATAAATGTCCATATTAAAATGAAATCTTCACAATTTACATTCAGAGATTGAAGTAAAGACAGATATAATAAATTATAAAAGTATTATTTGGGAACTGATATATGTCCACATTAAAATGAAATCTTGACAATTTATTTTCCTCTGCCACGGCCCAGTCCCTTCATTCGGGGTCCTTGACTTCCCGCAACAAATTGTAAAGCAAAGACTTATAAATAGGGGAAGTTAGATGACAAGTGCATTTAAACTGAATACAATATTCTCTTGTTTTAGTCAGATGGTGGGGAAGACCATTGATTACTGCTTTGTTTTGTTTAAATAATTAATATCAAAATATTAAAATATTTTTTGTGTTGAATCTGGCCTAAGACAAATGAAAAGAGTTATTTTGGCACTAGGCTAATGAAGAATTCCAAAAAAAAACTAGATAATGAATTTCCTGTCACAATATATCATAATTATGATGAAACACCTTAACAACTATTAAATAAAATTTGTAGAAGGCTATTGTTTTGGACTAAACTCCTGCAATAGGCCCCAGTAGACCAAAGGAAAATGGAGCCACTCATGTTGTCATGCAAAAAACAGGAAAATCTCCAAACAGTGCTTTTTTTTTTTCCAAAATAACAAGAGAATCACATAAACCATCTGAAAAAGGGCCAGTCATCCTGACCCAGCATGATAAGAAAGTCTCTACTTCAACTTGCCTAACAAGGAAAGTAACCTGACGTTAACCAATCTGCTTTTATGTATATGCTGTTTACTTGTTTCTGCTCAAGCTACCTTTCAAAAACTGACTGTTCTGCTATATCCAATGAAGTGCATTCCTATTTTTATAGATAAGATGCTGCCCAATTCATGAATAATTAATAAAAGTCAATTAGATTGTCAAACCCAAATTGTTGAAATTTTGTTATTTGACATCACATAATTTTTTTCTCCATTACATTTGAAATTGCACATCTATTTAGAATTTACAGTACTCTTTTAACTAAATTTAACAAAAATAACTTCCTGTGCATCTAAACTATATTACTTATTTAATTTAACACTCTCTTATATTAACTAATTTTTATTAAGAAACTGTCAGCCATGGTAGTTCTCTTTGACCAGCCCATAAGATTCATTATGATATGACAAACCACCCATTAATACCCTCTTGTTCCCGAAAACAGTCAGCTACAGAAAACCCTCTGCCACCCACATTAAACTTCTCTCATTTGAAACATCCCCAAACTGCACAAGTGCCCCCTTGCAGCCAACCAATACTTGTAAAATATACCATTTAGAAAGCCTCTCTAGTTTCCAAAATCCCATCTTAACAGAACATTTGCCAATCAGGTAAGTCTGACTGTTTTCTCATTTTATATCCTAACATGTACTTCCCTTCCTAACACTTTGAAAACTTTACTTAAATGAAAGATATAGCAGAAGTATCCCCTTGCCACAAGTTTATGAATAAACAATCTTTGTAAATTTTTTTATCAGACTTGGTTTTGATCAATGTCATTCTGTTTTATTACAGGAATATTTAGGATAATGTATCTAGGGATATTTAGGATAATAAGTTTAGAGGGAAATGTCTTAACATATTCAGCAATTTGCAGATCCTTCCTGGTACATAGTAAGAAAACATAGTAGAACTAATTAAAAAGAGATGGGGTAGGGTAGAGGAGAGAGAGAGAGAAAGAAAAAGAAAGAAAAAAGCCCTGAATTACATGGGAGAATGAAGATCAAAGTTGGAATGTAGAATAAGTCATTGTCCAATTCTTGTTCAATTGATGAAATACCTAGAAGACACTTAATCTACCACTCTCATATGCCATTGTTAAAACTTAATAAAGTACCCATCTATTGGAGATCCTCTATAAGCTAGGTACCAGTTAAGCAATTTCCATGCATTATCTAATTTATTCACTAGGGAAAAATTGGTGCATCGATGGAAAACTATATATTATATTTAGTACACCCTTCTGCTTATCAGAAGGTGATTCTATGGAAGAAGTCTACAGAATTTACAACTCTGCAAATTGTAAATAACTGCTAGAAATGCAAAATAATTTTTCTCTGTAGAAATGTTTTTCTGTTCAATAGTGTGGTTCATTTGACTTCCTTCTCCACTGTGGAAGAAGCTAGTTTTGCTTGCATTAACATATCTATTTCAATATTTCTCATTTATGCTTGTGTCTTTATTTTGGATTTTCCTTTGAAGTGGCTATAATACTGTGGTTCTCTCATTGATAAATGAGCTATAAAAAGTCTTTAACGTCTGTTCATTTTATATCTGTATGAGAGTTGTGATTTTACCTTTTTTGAATTTGATCTTTTGACCATTCTTTACAATAGCTCAATTGGGGAGAGATATTATTGAATATTTTACAGAAAAGGCTTAGCAGGGTCTCATTACTTTCCTGAAAGCCACAAATATCCACTGGGCACCTCCTGACTGTTAGGTACTATGCTAGATGCCAGGGCTGCAAAGCTGAACAAGGTTGTCTTTAGCCTCAGGGTCAAGGAAACAAGATTAAATCTTTAGTGAAGGTTGCCTTATATGTAAGCTGCTTTCATAGATATCTAGGAACTAAAAACATTTAATGAATACTTACTACCCAAAATTCACTTGCTATATAAAATATTGAACTCAAATAGATTCAAACAGTTTTATACTCTTTATCTCAACTTGCTTTGTGAATTCTTGCTAACTAAATTCAGGAACAAAATAGACTTTATAGGAAGAAATACTTGATTACTATCTTCTAATCCTTCAAGTCACCTTATGAGGTAGGCATTCTTCCCATTTTTATAGATAAGAAAAATGAGGCTCCGAGAAAGTAATGCTTAAAAAATATCACAGCACTAAAGAATAGGAAGAGATAGCAGGATCACACAACTCAATGTCCTCATTTAATAGATGGAAAACCAGAGCTCATGGGAGACAGAGTAGCACCCTAAAATCTCATGTCCAGCTAGGAGCAGGACTGGATGCTCCAACCATTGCTTCTACCTTCTACTGCATCTTTCTACTTATCTGAGACAGTGAGGAAGGAGAATGGACCACATAACAGAATCAGTGAGACAAGAGAGAAAAAATTCTTAAATTTCTTTTAAGATTTTCAGGAGGCACCAAGGGGGCTGTTATAGTTTGGCTCTGTGTCTCTGCCCAAATCAACTTGATTATAATCCCCATAATCCCCACATGTCAAGGGTGGGAACAGGTGAAGGTAATTGAATCATGGGGACAGTTTCCCCATGCTGTTCTCATGATAGTGAGTCAATTCTCATGAGATTTGATGGTTTTATAAGCATCTCATTCTCTCTCTAGCCACCCTGTGAAGAAGCGCCTTCTGCTATGATTGTAAGTTTCATGAGGCTTTCCCATCTATGGGGAACTGGGAGTCAATTAAACTTCTGTTTTAAATAAATTACTCAGCCTCAGGCAGTTCTTCATAGCAGGCTGAGAATGTACTAATGTAGTTAATTGGTACCAGGAGTTGGGT